AGCAGAAGTTTGAGAGATTTCTCCCTTTCGGGGTAAGGTTTATCTTCAGTGTTTTTGCAAACCTTGCCCCTCTCCACCAGTGTTTGCTGTTTTTCTCTATATTCACTCTAAAGTCTATGGGGATGTGGTGTGACAGGCTTGCAGGTATGAACCATCAGAATTAATCTGCTTTATTGTGCCACTGTAATGGTTGTGTGTTCAAACACAAGTGACGAAACCCACAGAAGTATAGATGGTGAGCAGCTGATGTAAAATAGAGCTGAAGTTTCCATTCTGGGAGGCTGGTTCCGTTGAGAAAGTGGCTGGTGCATGCTAACTGCTTCTGTTTCTTCTTCACCATAATTAAATAATGCCTCTGATCTCATAGTGTAAGAAAATAGCATCCACTGGGGTAATCAATATTATATTTCCTGCTCTGTTACAAAGATACCAAAAATAGCAGTAGTGAATCCTTGGGCTTCTGAAACTGCAAATAGCAATAAGTGGGAATATTTTTTAGGTGTACAGCAAGTAATGTCAGAGGAGCAGAAAACCTAAATCTTATGGGCTCTGCATTTGTTTCCAATGAGTCAGAAAGTGAAGAGCAGTGAAAAAAAAAAGGAAAAAAAAAGGCAGAAGATGAGTTAGTCTGTAAAAAAGCTAAGTAGTATAGTCACTTGAGAATGATACGGGCACTTGTTTGTGTTACCCTACAGCTCTGTTAGATCTTTTCTCAAAGTGTAGAAGCTGCTGTGACTTTATTCAGAGAAGTGTCTTGTTTTTAGGTGGTAAGGAATGCAGCAGCCTCACTGTTCAGTCACTGAGGTTTTGTTGTATTTGCATAAAGTACAGCTATTTCAGACTCCATTTTTGTGACAGCCTACTGCTTCCTGCTTATCATAGCTTGGCAGAAGGTGGCTGAATATATTCACATGCTGTAGGGAACAGAACTTACAGAGATAAGTCTTGGGGGGGGATATCATCGGATTTTGCTAAGTAGGGTAACAAAGCTAACATCCACAGGTTTTCTTTTGATTTTTCTCCCATATTTAGGATTGTAAGGGGAGAGATTAAAGATTAATTTCCCTATGCATTTTTCATTTTAGTATGAAGCAAATTGTTCAGTCCTGTGAATCTAAAAATGTGTTACAGTAAAATATTTATCTTGGTCTTGTTACTGGCCACCTTTTGACTGTAGATAATGTGAATTTGCTCAACTGGTAGAAAATCATATGACTGAGGAAAGAGTAGTTGAGAAGTGGACAACTGGAAGTTTCCCAAGTGGAGTAAATAAAACCACATTTTAATTTCTTTATTATCTTTCTTTATACCTTTGATATTAAAATCTTTCTGTTTATGTGAATAGTTCCCGATCAAATTAAAATGGAAGACAGAGAGTCAGAAAAAGAATCTGAGAGAAGTGAGAAGAGAAATGATAGTTCATGGACTAAGGAGTCATTTGATCTAGCAGAGGAAACAGAAAGGTATGAGAAAAGAACAACAAGGCATGTTTGGCTTTGAGTTACAAAGACTTAGAATAATGGTTCCAGTCTATTTGAACAAGATTTGATGCTTACAGTAAGCCAAATTTTTTAAGAACCCTGATAATTACGACTATTTTATTTTAAAATGTTTAGTATTAAACTTGCCAGCATCCATTTTAAATCTTTTATTCAACAGGGCTCACTCTACTCTTGATGATATTTTAGAAATAATGATCCATGCAGTTCCTGGAGATGAGGAGATCCAAGAACAACCTCTGGGACACCCTCTAGGGTTAGCTGATCATTGATACTGTTTTCATAAGTTTATTTTGTTTATGTTCTGTGTACAGACATATCATATGTCTTACTGAGGAACACAAGATACTCTTGTGTTTGGCATCAGGATTTAATTTTATTCTTTTAACTGAACAGAGGAGGCAAGTGTCATGATAACC